CTGCCGGCGCCGAGTGGTGCTGAACTGGCCCTTCGCAGATGGCCCTTCCTGACAGTGAATGAGAGAAGAGGAGGGAGGACAGGAGCAGGGGCCGGGGAGGGGGAACAGGATGAGGGAGGATGGAAGATAATCAGACAAGGGAAAGGGAGAGTTTTTAAGTGGAGTTGACTTTTCCCTAAATCACAGCATTGAAAAGTGCTTGAAGGGGCATTCACGCTGGGAGAAAAGCTCACTGTCCTCACTGCAGAACCCCCGGACACTTACGTCTAGTTGCTGAATATGACCCCACCCCAAAAGGAGATGGGAAGTCATGAACTGATGAATAATAGCTTGTGATCTTAAAGTAAAATAAAGGTGCATATCGTTTTCTTCATGTTATATGAAATCAAAGGCATTCAATCAATGGAAGCAAAGATAAAAGTACGTTCGGGAAAAAACGATTAAATAATGCGCAAAGGCTAAAACAAACAAGTTGTAATGGGAGTCTCCCGTTAGCCAGGCAGAATTTTTTTCTTTCTTGCTGGGAGGAAAAGTACAGGGAGAAGGGTACCAGGAATCTTCAACATCCCATTTATTTGCCTACTGGAAAGCTCTCTGGGATTCAACATTAGGAATGGTGTTGGGATTTTCAGGTTGGACAATTTTCCAAGGAGGAAGCCAGTCCGCATAGCATAGGGGAAAAAGCATTCAATGTCCTCAGTGTATTGGGACAATGCCTGCAAAAATCAGCTAGGGAACCCTGAAGGCAGAGGCTTCATATAATGATGTGCACCTACGCACAAACCAGCAGAGAAGCCGAGAGCTTTCTTTTTTGTCTCTTTTTGGTGGACGGGATCATGGGAGAATGATATTTCCTTCTAACTACTCAAGTTTACATCTGTCCATGTGACAGACCCTCGCTCTTCATGGTTGTGAACAGTAAGTTCAATTCCAATGAGCTGAGAGGTACTTAGGGTCACCTAACAGTGGAGATTAAACAAAAGCAGCACGACTGCTTTAGTCTTTTTGGAACAACAGAAAAATATTTTAAATTCTTGTAACTCCAATTCTCTTCAAAGTTTCCCCATTACATTCACATTTTTCTTCCATGTTCATAAATCTTCTGCACGTATTACATGTTTATTGTACACACACACATATGTACAATGTGTTTTCTACAAAAAGTTTTCTATACAAAATCCCTTCATGCTTAATGTAGTAAGTAAAAGGAGAAATAACTTATTTTTGCCCTTCAGTATAATTTGAGCATCTGTGAGATCTAGGACAGCTACACATGAATGATATCTGACCATGTATCTGCTATTCCCTGCTTCCTGCTATTGCTCATTCTCTCCAACAACCGGGGATCTAGTATTAATTTGTGCTATTAGTCTTGTAGGAAACCTAGTAGCTGTCTCATCCATAGCAACCCCTTCCACAATCATTCCCTTCTTGCCCTCCTCTACCTCACTGGAAACACGGTCCGACAGTTACTGTGTAACGATGATAATGAGATTGTTACTAGAACCAGAAATTTGAAGTTTGGGAGAAAGTCCTTTTTTTCTAAAAGGTACTCTCCAGAGAGCTTTCTAGGACAAATGCCTGCAATGAATTACACGAAGGATTTCTGAGGCTAGTTTCTCAACGGTTTCTAGTAGGAATATGGCCATGTGGCTCTAAAATGTAACCTTCATATTCAAATCAATAGCACAATCTAACCTATGTTAAGAATAAGATACCAAACATATAAAATAACATGATCTTCATTTCTATTCTCCTGAGGTCCATTTTTTAAAGGACCCATTTTATAATTATTTCAAACTAACAACTACTGCAGAATGCCCGATGCACAGTTCAGTGAAACAGTATCATTAAGAATAGCAACACGAACCACCAAGACCACCACGACAGGACAGTCTGGGTGCCTCCACAAATGACTGGTGAAACTCCAAGTTACCAACAACAGATAAGAATGAGCATCTTAAGGGCTCTGAGAAGGTCTGTTGGTTTGGGTGAGCAGGAAAGGTGCAGGGATAGTACCAAATTCTGCAGGATTCACCCTACAATACCTTTTGTTTTACCAGTCTAAGTGGAAGCAGGGTTTCTCTGGGAGTAATAAATAGTTCACCGCCACCCCCAAGTCTATTGATTTTCACTTGGAGGTAGAACTAAATCTCTCTTGCAAAAGTTTAAAGTTTTCTTTGAGTGTGGGGAAGAGGTGATTTCAATTTCCCTCAAAAATAATTAAACTAGAATCACAAGGGCCATATTGTTACTCTTTGGCAAAAAAAAGAAAGAAAGAAAAAGAAAAACAGCATCAATAAAAATTTTAAAACAAACTACCCAAATATGTGGCAGAAGTATGAATGAAAAATATTTTCCTGTTTTTTGAACAATTTCTTCTGATGACTCAAAAAAATCTTCATAAACCTCATATAGAAAAGCAAAGCCTGTGACTAGAAAGGCCATTCTAGCTGCATTCTGTTTCCTCTGGAAAAAAACGGAGCGATATGAGGGCCACGGTGGGCCTTATAGCCCCAGCAGGCCGGCCAGGCGTACTGTGCTTCACAGTTCCTGAGGAAAAACCAACCTGTTTGAGACAACAGCTGTGAATGGCAATCTGTTCAGGGTCATACCTTAGAAAAACGAGATTGAAAGAATATCGGTCCACAAATGTGTATGTTCTTATGACATTGGCTGCCTTCAATTATTTTTATAATGTTTTTTTTTCTTGGCTATGATAACCATAGATATCATGTTTTTGAAAGCCCCACAAAACTAGACAATCACATGCCCAAAACAAATGAAACGGCCCAAAGCACTTTTAGGTAAATTTTTTGTGAAGCCATTTGGCACATTTGTCTCTATAGTATTAATGTTCTGAATAAAAGAGAAGACACAAAAACATAGCTATTGAAGGAACACTATAAATTGTGTTCATAGAATGTAGACATCCTAACAGAAAAACATGAATCTTTAGTGCTTATGAAATTTATTTTCAAATATATGAGGTTAGCAAGCAAAGCAAAGCAGCAAAGAGTTTGCTATTTACACATTCAGAATTACAACACAAAGAATATCAATACAATCAGAATGGAGGAGTTATTATTTCTTCAGAGAACACTGAAGAATTCTGGAAAATAGTTACTTTTACCTTTGTATTAGAATATAAATTGATTTATAGTGTAATAAAAAGAAAAGCAAAATTCTAAGTCTGATTTTGATTGTGCAGGGCAAGAGTTTTTCTTTTTAATAATATATAGCTAGGATCAGAATAGTAAACATTCTTGTTTAAAGATCTGAAAGTAATATGATTTATGACATAAGAGGTTTCAGGCACTTACCATATTTCATATCATTGCAATGCGCTAACAATATAAGATGCTTACTCTAAAAATTTAAAACTACTCATTTCAAATAAATAACTTATTTAAAATAAATTTCAAGTAAATTTATCATGAGTCATTAACACTTTCATAATTCAGATTTTAAAAGTGATCCTTGATGGCCAAATTATATCTATTTTTGAAGAATCATAGAATTTTACAATTGAAAGAGAATTCAGAGATCATTAAATTAATTCCATGACTTTACCCAGGAGCAAATGGAAGCCTAGAAAATTTAGCAGAAATGCACAAGATTATACTGCCAGGAAATCATAGTTGATTAGCCTAGAACCTGAGTTTGCCGACTTCGAATCTTTTGCAGCCCTCATGCCTTTTTATTGATATATAAAATTTTGAACAAAGCTACTACAGAAAAGCCTCTTTTAAAGATCTAGTACGTATAAATGAGTGCTCATTACAACACACTGGATTTTTAGCCTGATTTTTAAGCTAATTTTTTGTTAAATTATATTTTAACAGTTCAAAGGTGGTGAGAATGAAAATGCTACTTTGTAGTCATATTAAATAATTTTAACCTTTCTTTTAAATTATTTTTACTTATTCCAGAGGAAGAAGAATAGATTTCCCCAGAATTTAGATGGTACAACTCAGTCTGTAAAACACAGGCTTTAAAGCAGGTCAGCGGCTTTAGACTTCTTAACCTCTACCAACTGATATATAAAGACTAATATCTTAAAAGTATATAAAAATATGAATGAAGGAAAAGTAAAGTCTGTACCTGCAGTTGTATTTTTGTATCTTTGCTGACACTTTTTGTTCTCCATCTTCTTGTGACCCGCTTGTCTTTCTTTGAAATATCTACACAGTTAGCCTACATTACACAAATAGTTAAAAGCAACAAAGTATCATTAAGTTCACACGCATGTTCCGGATATAGACAAAGAGCACAGCAAGTTAGTAAAGAATAGTTGTTAGCCACCTAAAGCACACCAGCCAGGAGAGGAAGTCCTATCTGATGAAGAGTGGGCAGTAAAAGCAGAAATAAGAACTTAATCATAAAATATATTTGTCTGCTATACAAAAGGAAAACAGGATTAGAGATTTTTAGCATTCTTTTTTCCTACATAAAAAGATGGCAGTGGGGCTCCCAGGTGGCTCGGTGGGTTGAGCGGCTGACTCTTGATTTCAGCTCAGGTCGTGATCTCAGGGTCGTGAGATCCAGCCCCAGGGACAGGCTCCATGCTCCATGCTCAGGTTGGGATTCTCTCTCTCCTTCTACCTCTGCCCCTCCCCCCACTCGCACGTGTGCACGCGCTCAAACAAATCTTTAAAAAAAAAGATGGCAGTAATTCTGAGAGTATCTAAGTTATATCTTCAAAGTATCTATCTATCTATATATCTAAGTTATATCTTCAGAGCTATCATTTCTAATGCAATACAAACAAGGAAGAGTAATTCAGTTATTTATTTCTATTAGTTTACACTTAAATGTAAAATATTTCAAAATAGACATCTTCACACGACACCAAGAATTCAAAAATATTAAAAATAACTCCAGAATATAAACTAATCTGTGTTGTAGTTATTTCCCCTTAAATGTTACCTTATATATTTATAAAACAATCCAGTAAAAATTCTGCATTAATGTCTTAACGGCCTCTCGGTAACGTTTACCTGCATGTCAGTAAAGTTAGGTGCTGACTGAGTTCTCTGAAGTATTTCCAAATTTTGCAGGAGTTTGCTAAGTTCCACAAGGTTTGACTGGCAGTGTGCAAGGTCTAAGAAAAATCAGAAAGAAAAATAGGTTAGAACTGGGCAGGGACAGGCAGTGATGGTAATAAAAGACAGTCAATCCCAATTATGGCAAGTATGATTAGGTATATATATCCATGTTTATATAATGGTGGTACTGGCAAATGAAACAAAACAGACCCTTCTCTGGTTTAGAACCTTAAAAGCATTATTTAATGAGTTGAAAGCCTACTTACAAATTAACAGCTAGCTATTACAATCTCAGTGACATTGTGCGTTCTCACTTTCCTGTTCAGGTGGCCCTTGGCACATAGAAACCACACTCAAGGGAACTTCAGTAGTTTTATGGTTTTATTCTTAGGAACCTACCCACCTACTCCTAAAATAGTTTACAAGGAGGCTACTTAGAATTTGGATGGAGTCAAAGTCAAGTTCAGAAAAATAAGATGGAATGCAAAGTCAGATAGACATATTTATCTATGATTTCAATCACTAACAATGTTGCAATGAATGATTTCTTTAAAATTTATGAGGGATGGGGTGCCTGGGTGGCTCAGTCATTAAGCGTCTGCCTTCAGCTCAGGTCATGATCCCAGGGTCCTGGGAGAGAGCCCTTGAGTCAGGCTTCCTGCTCAGTGGGGAAACTGCTTCTCCCCCTCCCTCTGCCCCTCCCCCCAACTTGTGCAGGCCTGCGTGCGCACTCTCTCTCTCTCTCAAATAAATAAAATCTTTAAAAAAATCTATGAGGGATGTTCTACTAAACACAACCAAAGATTCTCAGAGTACGTTCCCTGGCCCAGCAGGATCAGAGTCACCTGGGCATGAAACACATCCTGTTTGAATTGTTTCATGAAGAAATGGCTTTTAATTTAACTTTTAGCTGTATTTGAACAAAAGAGAATTTTTAAAGATTTGTATAACAAAATAGCACTCTTAAAAATTGACTCTTAGTAAATGAAAATTAAATACAGTCAAGAATATTGAGTTAAGTAGTATCACTCACACAACTATCAAATATTTAGAACATGCCAGTAGTCATGTGATTACTTTTGCATGTGTATTGTTTGTAAAGAGACTGAAATAGGGCACGTCTATAAATCTGTTATGTAATAAGGTGGTTATAATATGTGGTGAGTTGGTGAAAATTTCATTTATATTATTTCTGTTTCTCATTAAATCTCAAGGATCTGAATTTTTACAGATACAGTATAGGCAGCAAAATATGGTTGTTAAATATGGCTAGGGGCTCCTGGGTGGCTCAGTTGGTTAAGTGGGGCTGACTCTTGGTTTGGCTCAGGTCATGATCTCAGGGACCTGGGATGGAGCCCCACGTCAGGCTCCGTGCTCAGTGGGGAGTCTGCTTTTGGATTTTCTCTCTCCCCCTCTCCTTCTGCCCCTCCCCCTGCTCATGCTCTCTCTCTCTCTCTCAAATCAATCAGTCTTTAAATATGGCTAAAGATAAGCTGGGACAAATAACATAGGTAGTTGCATCTGGGGGATTTTTGAGTTTTTGACTTTTTCGTTGGATATAAAAACAGAGGAGTAACTGCTACAAGGGTCGTTCCAGGACTCCCAATCACTGCATACTCTATGGAGAACAGGGTAGCAGCAATTTTCGGGCCAGGCCATATCCAGATCCCCCCTCTTCTCTCCAGCATCTGCCTCAGGATGGAGTCCGGGTGGGCTGTTCAAGCTCTACTGCTGTTCTTCCGAGAACTGTTGGCCGTCAGTGGCCATTCCTTCAGAGAGGGAACCCAGTGGAGGTGGGAGGAGAGTACTGACGAAGACAGCACCTGCCACCACCCCCTCCACCTTCAGGGGAGGCCATGCCCTTGTGCCCCCACCCTCTTCCCTAAGAAAACAAAGTCAAGTGGCTCAGGAGGGTAGAAAATACAGAGGATGAAAGGGAAGGAAGTGGTACAAAGAAGGAAGGAGGGTTCGAGGGAAGAGGAGGAGGGACACGGGCTAGAAAGGGCCCACCTTTTAATTGGCATATTATTATTATTATTTCAGAGAGAGACAGCAGGCAGTGCATGACTGGGGGAGGGGGAGGTGCAGAGGGAAAGGGGCAAAGAGAATCTTAAGCAGGCTCCACACCTGACCTCTGAGATCATGACCTGAGCCAAAATCAAGAGTCAGCCCCTTAGCCCAAGAGCCTTGCAGATGCCCCTTAATTTGGATTTTAAAGAACAAAACCGTATCATAAGTACCATGCTAATAGGGACATTATTTCACATTACTCATGCATCAAGCCTTCTATCTAGTGACTATTACAGTCATGCTTCCTAATAAGTGTGACTAATGTACACAAATGGTGTACGCAGGTAGCACAGAAATCTGGAAACGAGGCTTCAAACCACCACAATAATATCCACCCTTTTCCTAACAGAATGGAAAGAGAACATTGTAAATGAACATGTTCAAGAGCAAAAGACCTGAAGTTAAGAGTGAGGAGACAAGGGCTGACTTTACATTTCCTGGTGACAGCAGTATATGCCTCTCTCCCCTTCCCAGCTTAGAGTAGCAACTGAGATGGTAGACGAGGAAATTCTGTGAGTATGGGTCGTACCCGTGTGGAGTCACGCTGCTAGGGCCTTCCCTTGGAGCAAGCCACACCTGTCCCCACCACTTCTATTGCTTGAAATGTGGAAGAGATGAAATCCTCGGCAGGACTTCACTGCCTGCCTAAGTGTCTAGATGTACATAAGGATTATAAAGATTTGCCAAAGGCAACAAAAATATCTTTAAAAAAAAAGAAATCTCTAGAATTTCTTTAAATTAAGATGAAATCTAGTTTTAGAGATGGGGAAAAAGGAAAAACTATGCCAAGAAAAAACTGCTGAGATAGTTCAGAATGGTGAACAGTTAAAAACAAATCTAACAATTTACTTTTCTTCCCATCATGCCCTATCTTGTTCCAGAAAGAAATGAGTTGTCCAACTGTGGAATGGTTAAATAAATTAAGGTATATCTAAAGTTATCCATTTATTATTTCATTTAGGTACCATTGATGGAAGATGCTGTGTACCCAGCATAGTTCTAAGTACAGGGATTATCACAACCAAGTCAGATTCATGGAATTTACAACCTGGTAAAAAAAAAATGCAAACATTTTGTATGTTAAACAATCACATATCCGTCTTCAAAGTGGCATACACAATACTGATTTAACATTTTGTCTCCATAGGAGCCAAGCAATTCCCTTACGTACTTGAGAAGATCTGGATTGGTGTAACTTCAGATCTATGAATGGTTCGCCACCTTGTGTATTAAAACTATAAATCAGATATGCTATGAGTTCAAGAAGATGCTACATGATGAACTTCTGAAATACAAACCTTAACAGTGGGGACTCTCTATGCAATGATCAGGAAAGATCAAAGAAAAGGGTCATGGGAGTCTGGAAAATAGAGTTATGGTTTGAAGTCATCAGAGCACACTCAAAGGAGAGAGTGAAATCTTTTCGGGGTCTGGAGGATTGATGGAAAGGATTCAGCAGAAGAGAAAGGTGGACCGAGGGACCCGCTCGAACCGATTTAGGCCACATCCCTCGGCCTCAGAGTCACCGCCGCCATGGCCAGCCAGTTGCAGGGCATCCAGCAGCTGCTGCAGGCCGAAAAGTGGACCGCCAAGAAAGTGTTGGAGGCCCGCAAGCAAAAGAACTGGAGGCTGAAGCAGACCAAAGCAGCTCAGGCTGAAATTGAACAATACCGCCTGCAAAGAGAGAAGGAGTTCAAGGCCAAGCAAGCTGCGGCTCTGGGATCCCATGGCAGCTGCAGCACCGAAGTGGAGAAGGAGACCCAGGAGAAGATGACCATCCTCCAGGCCTCCTTCCAGCAGAACAGGGATGAAGTCCTGGATAACCTGCTGGCCTTTGTCTGTGACATCCGGCCAGAAATCCATGAAAACTACCGCATAAATGGATAGGGGAGGAAGGAGCAGCTCTGCATGCAGATTGGCATGTTAGATGCCTTCATGGAATACGAAGCTTCAGCAAAGCTTGAGTAGTTACATCCTTGTGAAAAGGCATTAAATTATTTCTGTATATCATGTAGTAGGTCCCTTCACTTCTTGGAGAACAGCAAATCTAGCTTCTTTGTACAAACGTAGAGTTTATCCAAAGATTTTCTCCTTTTACCTCATGTTTCTTAGAAATTTAATGTGTATACATTGTCTGTTTTCCTATGCCTTTTAGCTCAAGCAACATATGTATCAGTACTTTTTCTTTCTTAGATGTAGTAAAAAAAAAAAAAACAACTGTTTAAAGAAAGAAAGGGATTAAATATTCTTTTTCCCTAAAGCTTTCTTGAAGGTCAGGGGCTTTTTCTATGAAAAAGTAGTAAATAGTTACTGTAACTTGTGTGAAGCAGCAGCCGGCCTTAAGTCGTCCTTTCGGCTGAGGGTGGAACAGCGAATACCAGTATATATTGTTCGGGCTGCTCTTAGTTTCTCTTAACCAAAATTATTAGATGATAGAATTCAAGAACTTATATGCATGTTCTTACTTGGTGTACTGATAATCATTTGAAAGTAAAGACTTTGTCATGCAAAAGAGAGAGAGAGAGAGAGAGAGAAAGGTGGAGAAGGGCAGAGAGGGAAAGAACCACCTGTGCCATAGCACAGACAAGGGCATATGCAAGGATGTTCAGGAAACAGCAAATACGTTCAGTGGGGCCAATGGAAAGAAAGCAAGGATGAAAGGGCAGGTGGGGCCTGAAAGCTGAAAGGCAGCGGTTAAGTGCCAGGCTAAGTAGTTTGGGCTAAAGTCATAGAGCCCATGGAGAACCATGTGAAGGGAATTTTGCATAAAAGCTACTTAAGGAAATATCAGTGGACAAAGAGCTGGCTTTGGGGTTAATCAAACATCTCCCCCAGGGCGGCTGTGCAATCCTGGGCACATTCCTTACCCTGCACGCATTTTGCTTTCCTCATCTGCAAAGTGGGGAGGAGTAAAGCCGACGTCTGGTGGCCGAGCACAGCGGCCTGCTAATTGCTGGCCCAGAGCTGCCCGCGCGGTCAAGAACAGCAATGCCGCACGAGCCTGTGAGAGATGGAGCAGCAGAGCAAGAGACTGAGGATGAGAGTGCCAGCCGGAGGCTGCTGACCCACTTGAACTTGGGTCTGATCGGGTGGCAGACACTTGAGAGGAAGGGCAGATGAGGGTGTGGAGAAGGGGTGGGTGTTTTCGGAGAAATAACAGAACTCTGTCGCGGCTAGATGAACAACAGCGTGGGGGTCAAAGATCCTCTGAGGTCTCAGGGGTGGTCAGGACAGCAGCAATGACAAAAACAGGGAAGCCCCGCAGCTGGGGCCACTTCAGGGAGCAGACGGGCTGGTTTCAGGCAGGCCGAGGAGGGGGCGCGCCAGAGAGTACAGATCGACAGGGCCAACAGCGAGGAGAGGCAGGGGGAAGGCTGCCCAGGCTGCACGCAGAGCTGAGATTTAGACAGCTCTCAGCCTTTCTGCGAGGAATACGGGGCATATACTCTGGAGTCAGACTGCCCATGCTTGAGCCCCAGGTCCACTGCTGCTAGCTGGGTGAACTTGGGTTGAAGCGAGTTGATTTCCCTGTACCTAAGTTTTCTCACCTGTAAAATGGCTTTGAGAGGACTGCATGAGTCGCTGCATGTGAGACGCCCACAAGAGTTCCTGTTGCAGAGTGCCCGATGCCTGTTAGCTGCCGCTGCCCCCGCCCGCCCCATCTCCATCACCGCTGTATCATCAAACAGAGATTTTCTGAGCTGGAACTACGACCACACCTGTCATCTCCGAAGCACAGAGCACAGTCATTAGAATCTAGGTGGCCTGGGTTAACCCTCCAGCCCTGCCAAGTATTTGCTGTGTAACATGAGCTAGTTATTTGACCTAAGTATTGGTCTGCCTGTCTTTAAAAATAGAGTTCACAATCCTGTCTGGTGCTCCTGTGAAGATCTACAGAGAACGATACGTGTAAAGCGCTCGGTTCAATGGCGCATAACGAGCGCGCAGTCAACTACAGTCACTGTTATGGAAGCTGAAGGCAGAAGACTCAAGCTCGATCATCCCCACAGCCAAGGCGACCAGATGAGAATCCAATGAAACAGGGCGGGAGCAGCTGGAGAAAGAAGGAAAACTTCATGGGGCCTAAGGGAGAAGTCTCATTCAAGAAGGGGCCCCAGGGCAGGTCAGAGGATGAGGTCTGAGGACTGACTGGAAATCGGATGGCGCCTTGCTACCAGGAATGGCTTTTTCATAGAGCAGAATGGGCAAACATCAAATTATGGAGAGAAGCTGGAGTCTAGGGGCAGAAGTGAATGAGAGAGGCTGTCCCTGGGAGAAGGGGGTAATTATTGCACTAAATGCTGACAGAGACGAGAAGGCAGGACGGAGGACACAGGTAGAGCAGTCAGGACGGGGAGAAGAAGGAGCACCCCTGAGACAGGACAGCAGGCACAAGGGATGGGCCACAGAATAGTCTCAAGCACACGGGGACAAAAGCCGCCCTCGCTCCCCCACTAGCCAGGGGCGCCAACACCTCTTCATTTTGGTCAGAAGAATGGATTTTGTCCCGGTGTGTGGTCCCAAACCTGCTCCATGCCGCCAAGTGTGTGGACTGCGGCGGAAGTCAGAGAACAGGCTGAACTGTCGAGGACCGCTGCTGGGGTGAAACTGCAGCATTTTAGGAAAGTGAGGCCCGGCTTCTTTCCCCAACCCGAAGTTCACGTCCTCGAATGTCTGCATGTTGTGTGAATATGTTCAAGTAAAACCCTTTTAATGGAATGGCAGCTTTATGCATAGAACATCCCTCTTAAAACCATAGTTTCACACAAAGATTGAGTTTGGGATGTGGCAAGGGCTAAACTTTGAGTTCACGCACCTGCAGAGCAAAAAAAAAAAAAAATTTTTTGTGGTTGGGATCAACATGTATTGCCCAATTTCTTTTATTTATTTATTAAAATTTTATTTCTCAGAGAGAGAGAAGCATACAAGGAGGGGCAGAGGCAGAGGGAGAAGAAGGCTCCCCGCGGAGCAGGGAGCCCGATGCGAGACTCGATCCCAGGACCCCGGGATCATGACCTGAGCCGAAGGCAGACGCCTGACCAACTGAGCCACCCAGGCGCCCCTCAATTTCAATTTTTTAAACTAAGGACATAAGAAAATACTCACCATCATCTCATAAAGGAAAAAAATTAATAAAAGTTAGGCCCAATATCTTCACAAAATAACTTAAAAAATTAAATCAATGTAGCACTATTAAATACTTGCTATGCTATCCTTGTTTCATCAATTTTGAAGGTCAAAGGAAAACTAGCTCCTAGAATGGACATGGTCTGTGGCCATTTGGACCAAAATGCTTGAGCTAATCACGAGGGAAGAGCAAAGTTTCTAGAGAGTAAGAGGCTCAGCGACGGCAGGATGAGGACATTGTGTCTAAGTTCAGGATATTTAACAACGGACACAGAGTGCAACACCAGTAACGGAACTGTGGAGAGCAGGTGCCACATGATTGTGCGACTTATTGCGCGCCGTCGGAGACACACACTTATTCAAGGGCGAGATGAAGCAGCAGAAGAGGCAGCTGGAGAAGGGACCCGGCAACAGCGGAGAGCCCGGGTGGGGGCGCTCTGGGGGCTGCGCTTGGCCTTGAGATCCCCCGCCCGCAGGGCCTGGGGAGTGGGGGGCTCGTCAAGAAAGAAGGGAGCAGGGGGTGAGGTGAGTCGGCAGGGCGGAAGGGGGTGCAGGGCAGGGGAAGGGTAGAAGCGGCCGCGGCAGGGGTGAGGGTGCGGGAGAAGGCATAGGTAGGAGGAAGCTGGGGTCAGGGGAAGGGGCAGGGTCTGGCGTGGAACAAGAAGAAGGAAAGATGGAGGCAATCGAGGAGGCTGGAGGGGGCGAGGTGCAGCGGCCACGGCTCACTGCTCTCCTTCCTGTTTCGGCCGTCGGCTTCTCCTGGGAGACCAGCGGGGGCGGGAACCAACCTTCGGCACACCTGTCCATTTCTTCCGAGTCCTGTAACCAGGCTGCCACTTTGCTCTGGCCCGTCGTGCAGGTCGCAGGGAGGCTGTTGCTGCATGGCAAAGGGGACTGCCACGGAAAGCTGTTTGGTGGCACCTACAATGAACGAAGGGGAGTGTACGGGTGAGCAGAAACAGTATATCTAAGTGAGTTTTAATTAACTTTAATTTTAATAATTAAAATAATTTAATAATTAATTTTAATAATCATTTTATTTAAAAATGACATCAGAAAAGAGAGGAAGAAAGGGCACACTCGAAATACGAAAGAAGCCTCCAGGCTAAACTTGTCCATGCTCAGCGAAGCCCAAGTTCATAAAGAATAACACTCATAAGTGGCTATCTCCACCATGCAAGGAAGGGGACAACACCTAGATATGGTATAGCTCGTACTCTTAAGGGCCTGCCAGCTCAAGGGCTTTAAGTTGCTCAGCAGGTTGTATCCGACAGAGGGTCCTTGTGCTACTTTTAACTCATGATTGAAGGCCTTTCCTTCCCAAAAGCTCTCTGTTCCCTTACCATCAGCTCAAGGCCTCATTAGCCACATGTGATTCCTAAATACGTTACCCACCATCAAGCAACCATGCAATGCTTTAAATGCATATTAAAAATTGTAATATATAAAAAGGCAGTCTCAGCAAATTATTATTTCCCACAGCTGATAGACTTTCCAGTAAAGGGAATTTATGTGAAATAAAGTTGGAGGAGGTAAGGAGATAATGCAGTGAGTTCAGTGAACACTTAGTTGAAAGAGCAGAAGCTTACTTCTGAAAAAGCTGAAACAACTTTAAAACTCCATATTTGATTTTCATATTCAATTATAATAGATCGTGTCTCTTCTAAATCATCACGAAGCGAATGATACACATATTTAGCAAACCCAGACTTATTTATTACCCATGCAGGGCCACAGACCAATTAGCGTTCAGGAGTCTCATAATTTGATACTTAGAATGCAAGGCAAGGGATAAAAAGCTCTCTTCACTCTTTATTGCATTTTGCGAAATGTAATGGAAATCTTTCACCAAGTTTGATCTTAGAGGTGTGTCATTCATAACTACAGCAACAGATCTTCTACGAAAACCAGAGTTGAAGGGCTTTCTTATTCCAAGGCAAACTGTGGGGAGGAATTGGTTTCACTTTTCCATTCTCTTTGGCTATCACCCAAGTTATTTAATAAATAACACAAGGGATGAAAATAATATATCTTTTATCAATAGTCTATGCCCAAGATGCAGGCAGAAGCAGAAGAACCAAAGGATGAAACATTCCTATTTTTAAAATATGCATCTGGGATATACTTCTTGTTTAGCTGGGACGAATCCTGGGATTCATTCTATTCTGTGGCGAGAACACAGGGGGCCCGAGAAACCGGAGGACGATCTTAGTCATCTTGTGTTGGGTCCCTCAGTAAGTGCCCTACTTCCTACTCTCTGACCTCCTGGTTCCTTCTTTTTCACTTCAGAACTGGTTAGTATTAGGGCTAAACCAATACCCTGTTCTAGGAGGATGACGTTGGTTGAACAATCCTTGGCAAGGCTATAACCAGAATGAAATAAGGTTTGAGAGCCTTGCGAAATACAATTAATGGGATTTAACAAAAATTACTTAAGTAACTTCCACTGAAATACTAAACAGTAAATACAGTAGTATTTCATTTAATCTGGTTTGACTTATCTTGCAGATTCCATGAGGTTTTTCATTGTTATGCTAAGGAAACTTGGATATATATATATTATATATATCCCTAAGTAAGAAAACAGATAAGCAGAATCTTCACCGAAAGGTTCTTAAACCCATCTCCTGATGGCAGCCAGTTATTCACAGATCTCTGTGTTCTCAATGTGTCAGGTGCCAAGTGGGAGCTTGGGGAATACCCCTGGGCACCGCAATGTGGCTATGGTTTGGAAAATTTAATTACTGAATCAAAGGCAGAAACAAAAGTCCCCCTGCCTCTTGTCTTCACTTTGGTTTTTAACAGGCAACACCTCTAGCTTTTTAGCCACATAAAAAAAATGAACTCTTAATACAGCCCAAAGAACAACTTCAGCCTCCCTTAATCTGGGACCTGGTATAATGGGAAGGGCATGGATTTTGGAAACAAGAGAGATGAGGATTCAGATTCTGGCTTGGCTGTTTAATGGCCATGTCACTTCTGAAAACATTTTTTCTTTTTTCTTTTTTTTTTTTTTTTACTATCTCTGAGCTTGGGCTATATTAAAGACGAGAGATGAGTGAATGTCAAATGCTTAACACAGTGCCTAGTCATTCAAATGGTCTACTATGGATATTATGGTCACATTCTCTAGCCAATTTACCTTAACTTCATGGGGAAATTCAATGGTCTCTCTCTGGGTCATGTATATATTATAGTTCAAGGCAAGGAGCAAGTTTCATTTTTAAAACTTTGTGGTCTTCTTATTATGACCCAGGAAGATACCAATTTCTAGGTGCTGCTTAGCCAAATGTTCACTCTACTTCCTAATAACCCTATAAAGTCATATAAAATTAGGATGTAGTCCATGCATAGAAAGGAAAAGTAACTGTTAATTCTCTTGGTGATCCACATTTCTTCCTAATCTATACTTGTGATTAACTCTGATGCCCAGTGTCACTGCTGTCTTGAGGATTAGTTAACAAAATAAACCTTCTCTTTCTGGTTTGTCAAACGAGACACGGTTATGTGCCTACTTACCTTCCCAAGCAATTTCTGGGCTGATTTTCATATAATAAAGTCATACCTTTCCATCCACAACAGAAACATTAGCAGCTGGTGAGGATTCAGCTGTAGAGGTTGAAGGAAATATGTGAAAACTAGCATCTCTCGGTGACCTGACAATTTCATTCTGCCGATATAATCGATGATGGCGCAGTTTGGAGACCCATGCATCAAACCAGTCCTGGGATTTCACCTAAAACAAAGAACAAGAGGAGATCCTAAGGGTGAAACCCATCTCTGGTTTACCACTGACACAGGCAAGTGAATTCCCCTGATAGTGGCAGAGAAACTGTTCTCTATTCTCAAACTACTGAAAAATGACTTTACCTTCAAATGATAGATGTGCTCTTCTGTGTCAAGGTCTATTCTCCGAGCTTTCTTTTTAATTGACATGACCGAGAGTCCGACATCGATGCTTCCATGGACCTTCCCCTTTTGAATCTGAAGTCAGAAGACTAGTAAATAGGCTAGAAGGACATAGGATTTTCTGTGTTTCTGTACTGAAGTGAGTGTAATGTAATCTTTACCTTATCTATGGAAGATGGAATACCACACCTCCTTTACAAAGAGAATATGATTAAGGTCCTTAATCTGAGGACAGCTGAATTTGCTGTGACTTCCCACCAATTTCAATAAATAAGACTATTCATTTCTTTGTTTTTTAAGTTTACTTGTTTTTAGGAATCTTTACACCCAATGTGGGGCTTGAGCTCCCGACCCCGAGAGCAAGAGTCACTTGCCCTACAAACTGAGCCAGCCAGGTGCCCCAAGACTATTCATTTCTTAGTCCTGTTTCTGGCATAATTTATAATGCTAACCTTCATAATTCTAGATTGCACAGCTTATATCCCAAAAAAAGATATGTTTAGTGGTTCCTAAAATAACTACGGTCAATCTTTGACCCACAGCCCAGAACATCCCCCAAGTAATGAACCCGAAGCCAGCTGCTGAGGCCAAGCTGGGCAGCAGGGACTGAGAGCACAGAGTAGCCAGTGCTTCCTCTGCTTGCCCTTGTCTGATCAAGGACACACAGCTGATTCGATGAAAAAGATGGGGACAAAACGGAAACCTGAGTTATTTCCTTCTGCCACACTGACAAGGCAGGTGGCATTTTCCACTTTTACATGCAAACAACTACTACTTCAAGAAAAATAATTTGCAATGATGTTAGTGAGTTAGGATTCCCAAGAGAAAAGGATGCATGAAACAGAAATGAAGTTCGTAAGACAGGTTTTAAAAGAATACAGATAAGAACAAAGGTTGCTTTCAATCTCAAAAAAAAAAAAAAAAAGCACATGAAGCATAACTTATTGAGAGATGCAGGAAAAAAAAGTCTATTTGGGTTTTCTCTCCAAGACAGAAGGAGTCATTTTATTAGTGTATCACTTGTAGGTTTAACCTTCTGTTCTTAATGACATCCATCGCAATCGCTAAATTAAATCTTCATGCTCCAGTTAGAGATTTTTATGCTAGCGTGAGCATAAGCATAAAACACACCTTACCCGGAACATGGAAGTCTGGTAGCTTGTTACATCTTACAGGCACACAAATGCACAAAGCTGGTAACTACGTCACAAGGCTTGCACAACGGTGGTATTTACTCACTTTAAAACCATCTTTGAAACATGTCCTGTGTGCTACTTACATCAAGTGGTGCCTTTGAATACTTTAACATTCCATTATCCAGGACAAAAAAACGCTGCAAGAACCAAACAACCCCCAGTTACCATGTGCATTTTGGATTATATAAAACATTCACAAGTGTGCGCCTAACGTTGCTTGGCATTTAGCAATCGGTATTCAGATATTTGAATTCAGTGCATCTGGTCATCGATAGTCACATTAAATGGTCAGGAAATATGAGCTTGAATTACATTTCAACAGCCTACTGGTGTTCTTTTTACACACAATCCAATGGAAATGCAATCTTTCACCATTCTTTTCCTTGTAGGGAGTGGGGTTGGTATCCACAGCCAGGACTTTCTGAATGAATCACACTGGGGTATTTTTGAAAGTAAGAAATGAGAACAACTCAGTTGAGGTCACAGTGATTCTGTGAGGAGCTTCTCTAGAGGGAATTTTCACCCTGGATGTAAATTTCTACATTTCCCTGGATACCATGGAAAATTCATGAAAATGCTCAAGTCTGTTACAGGAGTCAGTGAACTATACCTATGAATCATGAATTATCTGGGAAGTTTAAGAAGAAGCTTTAGCAATAAACTTGCTCTCCACTTTGCAAAATGCTTACATTTCACCATTAGTAAAAGAGATTAAAAATTGTTTCTGAATTACTTTAAGGGCAAAAAGGAAAAAAAAAGAAGAAAAGAAAAAAAAAGATTTTTGGTAGTTTTTGTCTCCTCCAAGATGCTCCTGCTCCAGTCCAAATGAATCTAGCCATCATTGCTTCACAAACACTCAGGAACCCTCTGCTGGTTTCCTTTCCATGGGCAATTCACACGGGAACAAACAACCCTCAGGACCCAATCGAACAATGTCTCCAATGCCCTCCTATAGTCTCTACAGATGCAAGAAGTCTTTCTATTATTGGAAAATTACTCTGCTGGGAAGGTTTTATGTGATTCGGGAATACTCAGCAGGCTCGGTGGCAGGTGGTCAGGCTCGGGTATACTCCGCACAGAACTCACAGAAGGCCATGAAAACCCCTTCAACAAAGGTCCTAGGGGCAACAAGTAAGCACTAAAAGAAAGCATCTCCGTAGTTGAAAAACACTTGACTGCTCAATCACCCATGACTTGGGCAATCAAATATGCTGATGCTTGAATAAATACCTGATAACGTTAGAGACCGGGACAAAAGGCAATGCAGGTGAGAACCTCCTACTACTTACATAGAAAAATGCTCAAAGGCATGGCCCAGAAAGAGTGGCTGTTGAACCACAGCCAGTTTTGCTGAGATGTGGATGTGAGAATGCTAAATTAAAGTTAGCGATTCACTGAACATTGGTTTCTTTGACTTCTTTTTTTCTACTTTTCTATTTCTACCTATCAAAGAATGTTAGCAGGGATAATCTACTGTGTGATCACGGAGGAAGAGATTAGCAAGGCCACCGATTCGAGGAAGTACAAAGGGGTGAGGCCAGAATGAAAAGCAAACGGTGATTCTAGGAAGGAGTATGGCCAGTTGGCCAAAATCCAAGGAAGAACAAGGGTAGAAAGAAATTCCTAGTATTGGGATAATACTAGGGTTTCAGGGGAGACTGAGGATGCTCTGACAAGTGAGAACGAACACTAGTCAGAAGCCTCTTGGAGCTTTTTTTATTTCACCCTCAGAGACAGGGGAGTGGGGCAACATTTCCTGTCCTTTAATTTTAAGTATTTCCCTTAAGTTGCAAAATATGTATTTCCTAAGGATCCTAATCCATAATGTCCGTGCTTTGGACCACTGGACAGCCACCACCCAGGCATTTGGACACCAACAGATCCATCTGCTCGTAGATGAAATCCACTGGCAAATGTGACAAGCAGATGAGCCTGTTCTTCCAGTGATTTCAGAGAAGGTGCTGGTGGTCTATCGAAGGGCTTACACTGAAAATGGAGGACAATTTTCTCCTTCTTAGCATTACAGTATTCTCCTTACTTAGGCCATTGTAACAGTGTAGTACAAAATATTTTCTCCATAATTAAAACCGGAAGGTGGAGAAAAGATGTGGGGTAGGGGAGAGCAGAATAAACCACATATTTTCAAGGACAGTAAACAGACTTCCAAGATCAGTAATTTTGCATCTTTACTTTGCACTGGTAACAATAATTCCAAGACTTTATCCCAAACACTTAAATAGAAATTTGTGTATGAGGATGTTCATCACATCGAAATAGTAAAAAAAAAATCAGACATATCTTCCATGTCCAGCAATAGGGAATTGGTTCAATAATGGTGGAATATCTAATAAAAATCCATCCAATAGAACATACGCACGCTTTTAAAAACATCTTATTTCAGACAATATTTAATAAGCACATATTCATGTTATTTTTTAATATTCATATTATTTTTAAATGAAAAAAGCAGAGTAGACAACATATACAAGCTGAACTTTAAATATTATGTAAACTATGGTTTCCCTACATATATTACAGATCTCAGACTTAAATAGGTATCATAGGTTGAAACCCATACGGTTAAAAAAAAAAGGCTGTGAAAATTAGTTTCACACATGCAACATTACTCTCCAATTTCCACCTAATGACACCAAATAAGATCCTCTCCATGACGAAGATGATCTGAAGATGAATATCATGAAAATGGTACCTTGTGCCAGCCCTTTAAAGGCCATTTTCTTTTCTTCAGCATAAAGCCTTCATGTTTGTCTGGTCTCTGGACATTGGTTTGGCCTATTTTCAGCCCTTCTATAATTTCCCAGCTGTCAGCTTCCTGAGAGAAAAGAAGAAAAACAAATCACATGTTTCTCAGTGTTTGATGACACAGTCAAAGCAGACTCCTAAGTAGAACCTGCTTTTGAAGCAACACTGACCACATCAGAAATATGAACCACATTCTGGAGCAAAGTCTAACATTCGACACAGCGTTGTGCTGATAAGTGAAATTAGTGTCCAGGTAGACCTGGACCTGCACACAGGTCCATCGGGGATGGTTGGGCGCTGGACTTCAGGGCAGAATGGAGTTCTGATGGCATGTACTAGGAAGGTTTAAAATGCATTTTTCCAGACAGTTCCTCTCTGAGCACCACAGCACTTTAATGTTTTAAAGGAAGGCTGTTTTGATGACAAATGTTCAATTAGTGTGGAGCCCTGACCTTCTGTGTAAAATGGAAAGGCCGCAGTGTTCTGAGTGGTCCATCACCTACTGGACTAAAGGCAGTGCTGTGGGCTGCATGCATTTCAGAGCGCACGGGACATGCCCCGCTCGCCACGTGACACCCAGCAGTTCATGCTTTGGAAGACACATATCCCAAGAAACACACACCCTTGGGAGCCCACGGAAAGAGGACGGGATTTCAAGGCCAGAAATCTGGGATCCTAGAGGCTATACAATCACCCTCCTCTGCTAAAAACAGATCAAATCATGGTTTCTTCTTTTATAAGACACGTTCTGTGTGTCTATGATGTCTAAATTTTTTAATGAGTTGTCAACATTTAAAAGTCAGAAGATTTCAGACGTAAAAAAAATCTGAATTTTGAGTGTTTTGTTCAAGTCTATAAGATCTGGCAGCACTGGGCCTGCCCTGAGGGAAGGGTTTCTGGGCAGAAACCTTCAGTTTGCCATAGTCCCCCATGGGCCCACCTCCATGTTAGATACCTGGCCCTTAGCAACATCCCGGGTTTTCAGATCCCTGGACCAGGTGATACTAAAGGGCCTGTGCAGCTCCAAAGTAACGGCTGACCTGACCAACACTGATATTCTAGATCTCGGGCATGTGGCACAATGAAGCAGCAGAGGCAGAAGCAACAAGGTCACGTCCCATGCACAACGGCTACAACCCCTCCCACGGTGCAGGGAGGCACAATCTCTCGGGGTAAGTGCTCTGTTGGCTCAGCTTCAGAAAGCTGGATGCAGCTCCACAGATGAGGGCAGGCCTCTCTGCAGAATGCCCATCCCAAAGTGGCTTGGGAAATTGCCTTCCAAAGAGATACATTCTATCAGGAATTGCCCTTCAATCACAGAACAGAGGCTTCAACAGGAATGGCTGATGGGGTCCACCTCAGGGCAGATGGACTTGCTGGTGCAAAGGTCTAGGTGGCGGCCGCCCAGAGCCTGCTGAAGGACGTGAGGCTCTGACAAGGCCCTGAGGCACAGGTGCCATAATCAGTCACTGATGCTGGCCCTGGGGACTGGAAGGGAGAGGCTAACGTATTTACCCTCCATTCCCCTTTTCCTTTTTCCCTCCTTCCATCCCAGGAGCTGCTTGCCCCCTGTGGCCAAGTCACATCTCTTTTAAGGTCAAGTATGTATAAATGGGGCTGTGTTTTTTCACAGTAAGTTATGTTTCTAGGAGATGCAGCCGAACATTGCTTCATTCTAGCATCACTAAGCCTAGGAGACACTCCTGGCTTATAAAAAGCCCTCTCAGCCAACATCGTGCCTCTGTCCTTCCAAATCCAACTCTAAATGCTCCCCACTGGACAAGAAAAGCCAGTCTAAGACAAGTGCCATTTCTTTGTCTACTTGGCCATTCATGAGGGCTTCCCAGGGAATGAGCTATTTACCTTACAAAAACACACCTACTGGTATCCATTTACCCAACATTAAGAACTCTGTACAGTATCCATAAGTGTCCCCTTACAAACAGCCCAAGAAGCAGTTTTCTATTTGAAGATAATACTGTGAGGAACTGTGCCTGAACGGGTCAAAACTGTTAATCAGATACAGTAATTTTTTTTTTTTTTTAAGAGAGAGCGAGCGTGAGTTGGGGAAGAGGCAAAGGGAAATGGAGAGAGAGAATCCCAAGCAGGCTCCATGCCCATGCATGGAGCCCGATGCGAAGCTTGATCTCATGACCCTGAGATCATGACCTGAGCCAAATTCATGAGTCAGATCCTTAACAGACTGAGTCACTCAGGCCCCCCTAAATACAATAATTAAAAAAAAATGTTTCTGATGAGACAATTTCAGGCTGTATACCATGTTTTTTGGACCATAAAAGTACAGGTGGCATTATGGTCTGGAGCACAAAGTGAGGTGCTCTGATATTCCCATTTTAAAATACTGATCTACAATTCAACAAATAAGCATTCCTTATGAATGTTAGAATAATCAGAGAAAACACTAGGTTCTACTATCACCAGAAAAGTGGATTAAAATTTCCATAAAAATGATGGATTTTTACTTACTTCTTTTTTAAAAGTCTGATACAATCAAGTAATAAAAGAATAACTCTCCATATATGTGTAAATATATTCATTAGAGCTTTCTCTGTTCTTAGATAGCAGCTGTATTTAATGACATTTCTATTTTTAATAGCCTTATCCATAGATAGCATCTCTAGAATAACATTTTTATTTTCAGCTAGATCTTATTTGAAGGCTAGTGTTCATCTTTGATTTATTCTGTGTGTGTATATATGATGTGTATATACAAGTGATGTGTGTGTATATACAGGATGTGTCTGTGTACCTATGAGATAGATATAGATATAGATTATATAGATATATAGATATGATGTGGGGTGTGTGTGTGTGTGTGTGTGTGTGTGTATGAATACCCTGGATAACTTGTAAAAATGGAAGTATTTAATAATAAGTACAGTGCTTTTGGGATTTTTTTCTAATTAAACTCAAACACAATACTAGCTTATTCCTGAGGCACTAGGGCTACTGATTTCTATCACAGTAGTTTTTTTCTTAGTTTAACTAACAGAGGAAGAAAAAAAAGGGATAAGACAGAAAAGGTGAAAAATTAAAATGTATTTCTTAAACGTAAATGCAGTAGTTCCGAACAAATAACTCCATTTGCTCTGATCCAATGTTACTAAAGCCAAAAGAAATTGAAAAGAATCCTAATACAGTTCTTACAGTAAAATAAGCTGTCAAACTGACAAAGAGGCAACAAGGTAAATCCAGAACAAACAACATCCTCCCTATTTCAGTTATAAATGCTGATGATGTTATAAATAAGGTGTGTAAGATATGAACACAGTCCATCTCAGTGCTTAATATGACCCACCTCTATGCTTGGTAGACTAGGTCTACCTTAAGAAAGTTAAAGTAACTTTCTGAAAACTGAAGAATTTTTTTTGTAATTTCAACTGATACCCATTTTCTGTTTTAAAGTCTCTAATTTTCGGGGGCGCCTGGGTGGCTTGGTCGTTAAGCGTCTGCCTTGGGCTCAGGTCATGATCCCAGGATCCTGGGATTGAGCCCTGCATCGCCTCTGGCTCCCTGCTGAGCGGGAAGCCTGCCTCTCCCCCTCCCACTCCCTCTGCTTGTGTTCCTTCTCTCGCTGTGTCTCTCTCTGTCAAATAAATAAATAAATAAAATCTTAAAAAAAAAAAAGTCTCTAATTTTCATCGGTTTACTTATAATAGAAACAGAGTCAAAAGCCCTAATGTGATCATATTGGGACTTGACTTGAGTCAGATATACAAACATTTTTGCTGTTCTAGAAATTTTAAATGCACTTTTTATCTAATAATAACTAAAAACAGAAAGTAATCTGATAACAGTCTGTTCATTTGAGACATTTCCTTTCTCCAGGGTATACCCTAGATGCATGAAGGCTGGGGGCGGGGCTGGGGCGGTCTGGGAACATGCTTCGGGAGGTGAAAACACCAAACAAAGAATTTCAACAAATCCTGAGTCAGGACATTGTGTACTTCAAACAATGTTCTTCCACCACCAACTGGTGCCCGAGAAGTCTGTCTTCTCTCAAAGGGACTGAGAAATGGTGAGATGCCATGGTACCTGGAATGGATGGGATACTCTGATTTCAGGAGGCCCCGAGAGATATGGTATCTATTAATACAAAAACCACCACCACAAGAGTAGTAGTCCTCTAGCAGCATCCACGCAGGCAACAGCACGGAGGAGTAGTGCGAGGTGGATGCTGCTGGCGCCCGACCCAGGTGCCCGTATCGGGCCAGTGGATCCTTGCCCCAGCTGCCTGAGCACTGCGGAAGCTCCTTCCTTCTCCGGTGAACTGCTGCTTGCTGAAGCTGGGGCCTCCGCGCCTGGGCACGAGTCTCCCTCCTCCACAGCTGGAGCATCTCCACCTCCGCCTCTCCCGCCCTCAAGACTCTCACCTACTGAAGGACCCAAGAGTACCAACAGCCGAAGGAACAAAAAGTCCCTGCCTCAGGGTGAGAGCAACTCTGTGGTACAATTCATGCTCCGGGCTCACCCTGGGAGGAGGCTCAAGGGGGCACTCCAGCCTAAACTCCTTCTTGCCAGCACCGCACTGCCCTAACCTCTTCTCTTATCCTTGCTCCTGACGGCTCTCCCTCAATGAAATCACAACCACCCTACGCCCAGTCCTCCTTCTGGAGGACCTGATGTAAGAAAGAATGTAAGATAAAGTAAGAGATGTCGTAAGTACAGGGAGAGGCTGGGGCGGAGGGTGGGTGGGGGTAGGGAGGTGAGGAGCACATTTGCAGAAGGATCCCTGTGGGCCCGACTTAGGAGAGTAGGAGTTTTAGCTAGGTGCAGGAGAGCACTCCAGAAGGAACAGACATGCCGCGGTGGAGGAGAGAAAGAGCACGGCCAGGGCAGAGAAATGTGTGCAGACGGATGCAGCTGGAGTAGAAAGTGAGATGTCAAGGACACTAGAGATGCACTTGGTGGGAGATGAGGAACCAAAGCAAGTCTTGTGTGCATTTGCTCTTTATTATTATCCTTGTACTTACTAGATCGCCAGCTTATTATAAAAGGACATAACTCGGGAACAGCCAGGTGGAAGGGATGCAGAGGGCAAGCTCTGGGCACAAGAGCTTTCGTGCCCTCTGCAGGGGCGCCAATCCCCCAGGGCCTCCCCGTGTTCGACAACCAGGAAGTTCCTCCTGATTTGTGCTTTTAGTACCGGCAACTCCCCTTTCCGTTTCTGTGTATCAGCCTTAGAGGTCTCCTCTCACCGTGTATCTCTCACCATGCTGGTCTCTGGCACACACCTGCCGGCTATCTGACTCTGGACAACTAACTTATGCTCCAAGTCTCAGTTTTCCTTATCAGTAAAACGCGAAGAACATCAGTAGTCTCTTCATCGAGGAGGGCTGATGTGAGAGAATATCTGTACTGATCTAATGCCTGGGACAAAGTAGGTGCTCAAGAAATGTTAGCTGCCTCTTCCACTGCCCCAGTATTTATTTATCCTCTCTCTCCACTAGCTGCCTGTAAGAGAGAACTGATGTTTTCAAAGAGATCACTAGTTGTAGTTACCAAGTAGGCATTCTCTCTGTTTGCCATTCAAATAGAAATCAGGTTATTTTCTCTTTCTCTCTACATTATTAAGTTTGATAACCCCTTTCCTTAGTTTTGCAGTCTACTCCTGTCCAATAACACAAACTTTATAGCTTGCAATATCTTTCAACTGTGAAGAGTACAAGCATATATATTCCATACCATAAAGTGTGTTCTTTCCTTAAAGGATTCTGTTTAATATAGAAAAAGCAGAGTGGAAGAATCAGTGATACATATTTCAAAGTCTTTTTTGGGGAAATAAAGTGCTATTTTTATATTTGCATTCCAAATCCCCATGCATTCTATTTTCTGAGTTTCTCCATAGGAGAGGCAGCCCGCTGAAAAAAAACTGCAGGGAGTCGAGCAAGGGGTAGGGATGAGTAGGATGGCATCTCCTCAACTTTTCTTTATGATTTTTTGCATTTGAGACATAAATGAATTTAGATTTTAGTCTCCCCAGTCCAAGGAAGAGAAGGCTGAAGGGAAGGAATGCTGGTTTCCATTAAACTGAAGGGGTTTTCATCGGTAGTCTGCCGTGTTCTCCTTGGAGCTCAGAGGGAGGAAGGCCAGATGGCAGGGGAAGACTGGGACTCTGAATGTCCAACAACCCCTCCAGGCAGGTGCTATTGGACCCGCAGGTGGGGTAGAACTGAAACACTCTACGTCTGGATCCCTGCCCTGCTACTTAGCAGCTTTTTCGGACTTTGAGCAAGTTCTTAATTCTCGGTTTCTGTATTTGTTTTTTTTTTTTAAGATTTTATTTGACAGAGAGAGACACAGTGAGAGAGGAACACGAGCAAGGGGAGCGGGAGAGGGAGAAGCAGGCTTCCCGCGGAGCAGGGAGCCCGACGTGGGGCTCGATCCCAGGACCCTGGGATCATGACCTGAGCCGAAGGCGGACGCTTAACGACTGAGCCACCCAGGCGCCCCTCGGTTTCTGTATTTGTAAACATAATAGATACCTACAGTGCATGGAGCTGTTAGGAAGGGTTCTGTTAAATGGGATCATGTATTTAAGCACCTGGCACCGTGCCTGGAACACAGCGCACAGGCAATCATGGTAGCTGTTGCTGCTATTGTTAGTATTGTGATTTTTTTGCTCGACCCAGTGATTTTTTTTTTTTATTAGCTTGATGTAGAAATAGTGGTTCATGTCTCCAACAGGAGAATGACAATGGTTTCTCTTCCTCTAAACTAAAAGGGTATTTTGGATCTTTGTAGTCCTGCAATTCCCAGCAAAATATACTTTCATCTATTCCTCCCTTATACTGGGCAGAGAAAGCCTACACACTGGAGGCGGAAAGACGTGGCAGCGCAGGCCTACGAGAGGAATCACAGTGACCCTAGGGGAGTCAGGTGGAAGGCCTGTTTACAGTTCCGCTGGCCCCCGAACAGGCATCATGCCATCCGAGAAAGCACCACATCCCGTCACTGACCTTGGAGAGCGGGACCGGCTCTGGTTCTAGCAACTGCCGACTGACAGAGGGCTCGGTGCTGGAGGAAGCAGTCCTCTCCAGTACATGGATACTCTGAAAACACATGGAAATACAGCCCAGGATCAGACAACCCATTTTTCATGCAGATGGGCCTGGGGGGGTGAGATCACACGGATCACAGTAAGAACAGTGAGCCATGTTAACAATGGCAAGTTCCTGAGGAGACCAAAGGCAGCAATAACAGTGAGAAAAATATCAGCACAGGATTTGGTTTTCCCCTCTTCGGCATATGCTGCTGCAGTGCTGGTTTCAGGCTCGGAGAAAAGGTCAGAGATCATACAGATTTAAAAAACCACAGAGCATGTCTCAACATATTTACAGCTTTATGAGAATGCACATATACCACTCAGACAATTAGCCTTACATACAAATATTTGCTTACCTCTCCAAGGGCAACAGCCAAAAAGGAAGGTCTGTATCCAAAAAGCCCAGAGTCTTAATACCACTTAAGTCTCTAGAGTTTCTTATAATCCTTATGAAATAATTATAATTGTAATATTTTGTAATAACTTTTAAATGCACAAAGAAAACAATTCATCAAATACAATAAACAGCAGATGTGTTTTACAGACTATAAAAAGCACTCACAGATCAGCAAGATAACATGCCGACTGAAAAATAGGCAAAGTACATGAACAGGCAACTCATGCAGAACACACACACACACACACACACACACACACACACATACACACACAATGGAGTATTACTCAGCCATCAAAAAAATGAAATCTTGCCATTTGTAACAACATGGATGGAACTAGAGGGTATTATGCTAAGCAAAATAAGTCAGTCAGAGAAAAACAATTATCATATGATCTCACTCCTATGTGGAATTTAAGAAACAGAAGAGAGGAGCATAGGGGCAGGGAGGAAAAAATGTTAGACTAAATCAGAGAAGAAGACAAACCATAAGAGACTCTTAATCTCAGGAAACAGACTGAGGGTTGCTGGAGGGGAGGGGGGTAGGAGGGATGAGGTAACTGGGTGATGGACATTAAGGAGGGCGTGTGATATAATGAGCCCTGGGTGTTATATAAGGTTGATGAGTCACTGAACTCTACCTCTGAAACTAATAATATACTATTTGTTAATTAATTGAATTTAGATTTAAAAGGATGGAAAAAAAAAGTAAAAAAAAAAAAAAAGAGTTCCTTACCCCACATAATGCATGATTTATTTCTGGGAAAAGGAAATACACTAACCCAGAAATATTCCATGAAAAGAACTGCCTGATAAATTTGTTGGGGGAAAAAAAACGCTTTTTACAAAGTTATTAAATAGAAAAGCCAAAAGAAGTTTTATTCTAAAGTCAGTATTGACTAAAATCAAACTATCATGGTACAGTGTGGGGTAATGCAGAGGATGTCAACTGGGGCAGGTGGTAGGGAAGCAGAATTATCTCTGGCCTCTTTTCCAATCTACACATATCATCCCAAACATAGATTCTGATGGGCCCCCAGGGAAAATTTCCCACCTTCTCACCCCAGAGAGGAACACTGCTATTGATGGGCAGGAGTCATCAGATCTGCTGAGTGAGAAACGGATGAGAAATGAGCAAAATCAGATAAACCACTGGCCTACAGTCAGATGAAATGAGAACTGAACTTGGGTTCTGACACATACTAAGTACTTGTTTGAGGCTATTATTTAATTTCTCTCCGCATCTATTTCCTTGTCTTCTGGAAAAGGAGAGAATAGTAAGAGCTACCTTACGAGTTTAATGTAAACATTAAGTGAGATATATGATAATGATATTAAATGTTAGTGGATTCTGAATTATATTGTGCCATTTATATCTATGACATGTTATCGAATAAGTATGTCAGACTCTATCCATTGTTTTCATTTTACCTTAAAAAAAAAAAAGCAACGGCATCTTACGGAGGGAAAAACTGGTAGTGTGTGCTCAGATCTTTAACAGACAAAAAGGGAGCAAAGGCCCAAGAACTTGCATTATTTGTTTGCTCATGTTGATATTTTGGATAGGATCCTATTAGAAACATATCAGCTAAATTTAAAATTTAGATGTATTCTGAGATCATATAATTAGAAACTAAAATGAGAATTTTATTGCTGTTGAAACGAAAACATTATTATTTTCTTCTGGGAGATAATCGTCCCTCCACCCAACATTCATTTTCTTTCTTATGTTTTAAAATGACAAAACTAATATATGCTCATTATAAAAGATTCAAATACAACATAGAAAAATAGAAAAGCAAAGGTCAAACTTCCCACCCATTGTTCCACCCCCCCCAGCTTCTGGAGCAGTGATTTTCAAAAGGTAGCCCACGAACCAAAACCCAAATAAGGCTGAATCAATTTTTGTAAACCTGCGTCTTAACCCTTGTTCCATTTGGTTACCGATTTTGCTTACTCTAAATTGTCCAGTGAAATATATTTGGCTCGAGCCTCTCTCTTTAAGGACCCTCGGTGCTATACGTTTGTGTACTTTTCTTCACAAGCTGGCTATTTTCATATTCTTTCATGGTGACGTGGAAACATATGCCAAATATCTTCAAGGTGTTATTACATATTATATAAGCAGGTTAAATAAAGGATTACATAAAGTTGTTAATTATTCTTTTAAAATCAAGTTTCCTTTCAAATACTAAAATTACAACTTTTCAGGTCAGTGTATTTTTTGTTTTTTTTTTCTCTAAGCCTTTTTTTTTAGAGCAGTTTTACGTTCACAGCAAAATTGGGAAGAAATTTCAGAGACTTCCCATATACCACTGGCCCCCACACAGGCATAGTCTCTCCCCCGGTATTAGTCTCCCCGACTAGAGTGGTACATTTGTGACAGTGACGAACCTAGATGGTCAGTTTTTTAAGGAACTCAGAACACACAGAGACAAGTACTCAGTTGCCCGTTATTCCCCCTGCTCAGAGAGAACGGATGCATATTTAGCGTAAAGCCAGGAGTCCAGGACACGCATGTCACTACAGCTCTTTAATTTGGTAAGAATTCATTTGGTGCAACTCCCACAGAGGGAGAACGTGATTCTCAAAACGCAAGCACACAAGATCCGCTGAACGGGTCTCCTAGGTTGGGAGGTCTGTCTTCATTCTCATTGCATTTCGAAGACACACAGGAACTGCTGTAACTGTTTGAGGCTGTGGCTACAAATTTCTGCAAAGACTCACTTTTCATACAAATTTAGGACAGTGATAAGGAGAACAGGCCCACTGCTCTCTGAATGTTACTGCCACTGAAATTGTTCATCTGCTGATCATACCTAAGTTATTTTGATATTTGTGAATTATGTAAAATATTTTCAAAGAAAAATACCTAAGATGGTTTATAAACTTCTAAAGTATTTTCTTCTTCAGGTTTTTGGCTGTGAGGCTTGTGTCTCTTCTAGTTACATCTAATTTTAACACAGCAACACTATTTCAGTGATGCTCATAACCTTCATGTGATAGTGCTGATGAGAACAGTGGTGGCGGAGGGTGATGTTTGGTGTTCTCTGAATCCCTGTCTCTAGGCTTTACATGGATTATTTCATTCCATTTTCACAAAAAGCCTTAGAGTAATGACTATGACATTTATTTTATAGCTGAATGAACTGAGAGAGGCACAAAGGGGTTAAATTAATGACACAGGGTCAGTAAGTGCTGGATTTGGAATGTGAATCGGGATTTTACTCTGCGTCCAAGCTTTTAAGCACTGCCTTCTACTGAAATTAAAGCCAACGTTAAATGGCAAAACGGCAGCAATTTCAAGCAGTGTATTCCCTCAAGACTAACTGAACACATCAAAGGCCATCCTCAACTACAACCTTTCGTGGAAGCAGAGGCAGAAATGAGTAAAACAAAACAAAACAAAAAACGATTAGAGCACTCTTGGGCGCCTGGGTGGCTCAGATGGTTAAGTGTCTGCCTTCGGCTCAGGTCATGATCTGGGGTCCTGGGATTGAGCCCTGCATCGGGCTCCCTGCTCGGCGGGAGGCCTGCTTCTCCCTCTCCCTCTGCCTCTCCCCCTGCTCATGCTCTCTCTCTCACTCTCTGTGTCTCAAATGAATAAATAATAAAAAATCTTAAAAAAAAAAAAGATTAGAGCACTCTTAAATATGGTGCAGCCTTAAGGTTCATTTCCAAGTCAAGAACTATGAGCAAGCCAGCCAGCTTTTCCTTCAGGGCTGCAGAAAAAAGAATATAAATTTGCAGTCACACAGATGAGCATACCAACCCTTATGCTGCTATTTACCATGTGACCTGGGCAAATCAGGACCCTCTCTCAGCCCCAGAGTCCTTGAGCTGTAAAATGGGGATGGCAGTGTCTACCTTAGAAGACATGGCAAGGCACAGAGCTGGTACCCAGGGTATACAATAGTGCTAGCCTGGCATACCATGGGCATTTAATAAATGGTAGCTGACATCTCTGTGGTAAGTGCTCTAAGAATAAATCTTTAGGAATCCTGAGTATTTTTACTGCTACAGAAAGAGGTATCCAAACACCCTGGCGGGGTAGGACATCTGCGAGTGAAGAATCCATACCTGACATGACCATCATGTTAGCTGGTCAGCCTAGTAATGGTAGGCAGCAGCACCTCCTGACCAGAGCGTCAGAACTCACTGAGGAAGCTGACCACGTGAGTGCAGACAGATGCCCGAGATGTGTGCTAGCCGAAGAGAGTGAGGGCGCCAGGAGGTGATACAGATCCTGCACCCTTCTGAACAGCCCAGCAGCAGAGGCACGTAGACATGCCTGCTGGCTTCTTAATAACTCCCGCAAGGAAATATTATTTATTATTATTATTGGAATAGCATAAAATATTAAAATCACCAAAGCCAGAAGGCCACGCCTGAATAAACAGTAATTCTACTTTCTTTATAGTAATAACGGTCTTACTTTCACTGAAAGATGGCAGAATTGCATTAATCATAAATCTTCATATAAGTGCCATGGAAATGAATGAAAGTAGAAAAGGTTAGAAATAGTGGCTGGGAAATACCACACGGCACCCCTGGGAAGCTCTGTAGGGAGACGTGGCAGTCCTCACAGTCTTGACTCCTTTTGTGTAGAAAGAGGAAACTTATTAAGAACCAAAAGCCATAGCCCCACATGGAACTGGCGTATGGCTGGAAATTCTGCATCATAAGAAATACCATCAGGATTTTTTTTTTCCTCAAGTGGTCCATTGACAGCCAAGAGTAGTTCAGCAATGTTGACTATGAAGTGGTAAAGAACATATGAATAAACAGCATTTTAATTCCCATGGTTGCTTACAAAGAGCACTAGAACCAGAACTTACTGGGGGGTTTGCTTCTTACCTGTCCTCTCAAAACTCACAAACACGCTAACAAAATCACTGAAAACCCCACAACTCGGATCATACTTCACTGCGGCAATTACAAACAAATGGCAAATAACAGGGACAAATAGTAGGTCACCTCAAGAGCAAAGGCTCTGAAACATGCAGAGTTAATTTAAAAGGCAAGATAGCAGTTATGTGTGACTTGAACAGAACACTAAAGTCAAGGTTATTTATAATTTTCTACAAGGCTATTCAAATGACCCAGAACAAACGTTTTCAGTATGACAATCCCTCACATGATCTTACTGGCAATAAAAGCAAAAAAAAAAAAAAAATCCTGTATGTATCTACTTAACATTTATGTATGTGTATTTACGGCAGAGTTAATTTGTTTTGATCACCTGTGTGAACTCAGAGCAGATATATCTATGATTTGCCTTTATGTACCCATAAATATTTGCTGAATGAAAGAACAAACAAGGGCGCCTGGGTGGCTCAGTTGGCTAAGCGACTGCCTTCGGCTCAGGTCATGATCCTGGAGTCCTGGGATCGAGTCCCGCATCGGGCTCCCTGCTCAGCAGGGAGCCTGCTTCTCCCTCTGACCCTCCCCCCTCTCATGCTCTCTCTCTATCTCTCATTCTCTCTCTCAAATAAATAAATAAAATCTTAAAAAATTTAAAAAAAAAGAAAGAACAAACAAATTAAATTGCCATGAGATAAATACAGGTAGTTAAGAGGAGAAATGGTGGCCCAGCTCCTGCCTTAGCACCTCAAAGATGGCTTTAAAACCTTGCTCCAAGTTTCCCACATAACATATCCTACATATTCATTTAATTTTAAATTTTTGACTTACAGAGTTAAGGCTTACAATTTCATTATTAAAATGGCTGACATTTATATTTACTATATTCAAAATACTATTTTAAAGCTACATATGTACACACATTAACTCACAAAATATAACTCAAAAGATATGACATAATTTTTTTTGCTATAGAAGCAATAAACATTCGTTGCAGAAATGGGGGGGGAATGGATCAGAAAAGAAAAAAGAAATTAAAACTACCACACCAGTGGGCGCCTGGGGGCTCAGTTGGTTAAGCGACTGCCTTCGGCTCAGGTCATGATCCTGGAGTCCCGGGATCGAGTCCCACATCAGGCTCCCGGCTCAGCAGGGAGTCTGCTTCTCCCTCCGACCCTCTTCCGTCTCGTGCTCTCTATCTCTCATTCTCTCTCTCTCAAATAAATAAATAAATAAAATCTTAAAAAAAAAAAAACTACCACACCAGCAACAAACTCTTTTCAATATCTTGCTATATTTGCTTTCAGCTTTGTTTCAATGCACATATACATTCAATTCTTTTTAAAAAATATATTTATTTATTTATTTGAGAGAGAGAGAGCACAAGGGGGAGGGGCAGAGGGAGAGAGAGGATCTGAGGCAGACTCTGTGCTGAGCACTGAGCCCAACAGAGGGCTCAATTCCACAATCCCGAGATCATGACCTGAGCTGAAATCAAGAGTCGGACGCCTAAGCGACTCTGCCACCCAGGTGCCCCTATATACACTTCTTTTTTTTTTCTTCTTTAGAGACAGAATGAAAGAGAACATGAACAGGGGTGGAGGTGGGTGGGGGGAGCAGGAAGCCCGATGTGGGACTTGATCCCAGGACCCTGAGAGACCATGACCCAAGCCCAAGGCAGATGCTTAACAGACTGAGCCACCCAGCCGCCCCTATACTTTTTTTTTCTTCAGTTTGAAACCATACTTTATTTTTCATGTAGCTAGAAATTCAATAACTATATATTTTTAAGCAGAAAAAAACTCCTTTACTTTTCCTTCTTGTATCATTGTTAGCACAAGAAAAAACACTTCTGGTTTAGAAATGATACTGAATTTCTATGAAAATGAATGTACTTTGTATTTGTGGAACTTAAAAGCACAGGACACGTTTTCAGAAGACCAATTTTACTTTTACCCACTTATGGTAATATTTGCAATGTTAGAATGTACTTAATATATAATTAAGTAAATCAAATAAGGAACCCAAAAGGAACTGGTCTTCTTGAGTTATTCACAACACACATTAGAAAATCTGAGAGAGAACACACATTAACAACAACAAAAAAACCACTGGCAAGCTCAAATGCAAGTTTGTATGCTGAGTATTTTTAAAGGGTTTAAAAAGCATGCTCAGTTAGCATACAGCCTTTTCTCACTCACGTAACAGATGCATTTCTATCTGCTTGTGTACAGCAAAGGGTTAGAACCTGAATCAACTTATGACTTCAGAAATGTGCTACTTCAAAAATGTATTCCATGGAATTTTTTTCACTGCTCCTACCACTGATTCTTCAAAATAAGCAACGTACAGAGGGTCTCATCCCTACCCTTGAAACTGTTTTTAAACACCAGCGCTTTAAATTGAAAGACAGGTAGAACCCTAGCAATTCCTGGTACAGTGGCTGGACTTAAGTCTTAATTAATGTTAAGAGTTAAAAGTACAACAGAAAATCTATCATTTCTTTATCCTTGGAGGAGAGGGAGGGAGAAAAAGGAGAAGTGGGGGATATGGTGCAGTATTTAGGAGCTAAACAGGAGCACAATGACTCATCAACCCCGAAATGAAGAACCATGGATCTCATCAATTTTATAATTCATGTTGGATCAAGAAGTTTGGTTCCCCTCTATGTATTTCAATGAATGCAAACCTCATACTCTCCAAACTACGAAGATGAATAATGTAAGATAAACTCCAACTGCAACAGTATTTCCCAAGTAGAAGACTGAACACCAAAGGGAATCCCTCCTTCCAACATCTTTTGACATGGTAAGATTTCACCAAAGTGGAAACCTATAATTTAAATATGAAATCGCTTGGCCAAGTAAGAAACTACAGCTGTTATGGGTATTACCCTACATAATCACTATATTACATATTAAACCCAGCATGACATATACTTGCACAATTATGCTGTGAATGATACAGTAGTGATGAAGTCAGTGAAAAAGGACTATCTTTAGCCCAAAAAGAGTATGGGGGGGCAGGGGAGAGGTGAAAACAAGTAGAAAGCACACAAAGAGATGGGTATTTTCTGACCAGGAAGGTCACTCTAAACACAGAAATATAAAAAGAAAAGTATTCCCTTATTTCCCCTATGTGGAAATAATGCAAACATTTATTTTCTATATCAGACAAGAACACAGCTAAGTAACCCAATTCTACTGCAGCATTATAAAAATCATCCCTTCACCACACTGTAAGATTTAAATGCATCTGCACAAAGGTGCACACTATATAAAAGGAGTAAGGTTGCTGCTGCCCTGCCAAGCACTTCCGGTCCCTACCCAGGTCCTACTGCAATACTGGTGGTCCCAATGGTTTTATCCAAATAAATTGTGTTTAAAAAATAAAGCATTTAAAAAGACAAGTCAAAATGCCTCAGAAACCATATCTCCAACTCAAACTTCATCTATTTAAATGTTATATTTGCCTCCCACTAATAAACCTTTATTCCACTCAAACTGAGCAATAAATCTTCCACACTGAAGTATCTTCCTTGCCCAATTAATCCAAAGGAAAAAAACTGAAATGATTAGTAAAGAAAAATGTAGGGACTAACACACCCTTTTAACATGTTTTTAAATATTTTTAAGGTTTTAAAAATGTTTAAAGTTTGTAATTCCTAGTAGGAAAACATTATCTGAATGAATACCCTAATGGCAAACCACTATAGAATGTTTCAGTTGCATGTGGGGCAGAGGGGTAGGGATTCTCTTCACAGCACCCCAGCTTTCTTCATGAGGTCAGAGGTACACTGGTTTGTATTATTGTGACATCCATTAGGTGATCGTTGCTTTTCCTTCAGCAAGGGCTTTATTTGTCAGAAGGGCATTATGCTTGACCTCCAAATTTGGCTGACAATTTACTGATGAGATTCATAACCTTTGGATTGCTCTGATATTTTGACATATTTGCTGGGTTCTGGGCCACATCCTGGAAGGCCACCATAACTTCTGGATCCTGCATGGCTGCGAGAACCTCTGGATCACTAAGAATTTCATTGAGCCCAGGCATTCCTGCCATTCCAGGCATGCCCCCTGCCATTCCAGGCATTCCTCCAGGAAAATTACCAGGCATTCCCCCAAGAAAGCCACCTGGGGAAAGAGCCATACTGAGCTCCTGATTGTCGTCTGGCTTCTTCCTCCCTCTGGGCTCTCTCATGTTCTTCCCGAGCCTTCTTAACCTTTCTATTCTTTCTTTGATCTCTCGCTCTTCACGTTTTTGCTCATACTTTCTCTGATGTTCAGCAATTTTCTGGGCCCTCGGTTGAACTTCTTTCAGCACTGCACTAGCATCTTCATCGTCATCCAGTTTACAAGCAAGGGCAAGATCATGTGCTGCTTCTTCCCAATGGCCCAGAAGTCTGTGTGCTTTCCCTCGCCACTTACAAGGCTGAGCTGCATCAGGATTTATTTCAATAGCTCTGTCACAGTCTCAAATGGCAGCATTTGGCTTCTGTAATTTGATGAAGACACTGACTCTCTTGGCATACAGAATGGCCAAGCAAGGATTCAATTTGATGGCATCTGTGAACAAGTCAATGGCTTTCTATAGTTCACCATCATTTAGGGCATCAATGGCAGCCATTTTTTCATCATTTGCCTGATCCATCATTTCCTCGGTTATCTCTACATTTTCATCTCCCATTTCTTGGGGGGCATCAGTATCTGGTTTAATCACACCTTCACTGTCAATCTCTAGATCACTTTCCTCACTTGATGGTTCGTCTGTCTTTATGTTTTCCTCCGCCTTCTTACTATCTGTTTTTTCTTCCTTGATATTGTCTTCTGGTTTAGTTTTATGAGTGGCAGGTGGTATTTTACCCTCCATGCTCTCCACCCACTCCCACAGGAAGCGCATTTCCTTGGTGTGCAGAACGCTCGGATCCTGCTTACACATTTTCACGAAGGCCCGAAGCAGGTTCACTTTGCGGGGGTCCATGGTCCAGAGGCGGTAGCAGGCGGCAGGCGGCAGGCCTGCTCAGTTCTTCAGCATAACAGCCCGATTCCAGGCCCATGTACTAGCTCAGCGTGATCGTTAGGGGACGGCTGCCGTGAGGCCCCTATACTTAATTCTTAAAAATAAAATTGGAATTGTACTATATTTTCAACTTAATAACCAGTTTTCTTCAATTAACAATGCAAAATTTCCCATCATGAAACATTCTTCAAAAACATTTTTAGCAGCACAATGGAATATTATGCAGCCATCAAAAGGAATGAGATCTTGCCATTTGCAATGACGTGGATGGAACTGGAGGGTGTTATGCTGAGTGAAATAAGTCAATCAGAGAAAGACATGTATCACATGATCTCACTGATATGAGGAATTCTTAATCTCAGGAAACAAACTGAGTGTTACTGGAGTGGTTGGGGGTGGGAGGGATGGGGTGGCTGGGTGATAGACATTGGGGAGGGTATGTGCTACGGTGAGCGCTGTGAATTGTGCAAGACTGTTGAATCACAGATCTGTACTTCTGAAACAAATAACGCAACATATTTTAAGAAAAAAGAAAAAGAAGAAGATAACAGGAGAGGAAGAAAAGGGGAGTATGTCAGAGGGGGAGACGAACCATGAGAGATGATGGACTCTGAAAAACAAACTGAAGGTTCTAGAGGGGAGGGGGGTAGGGGGATGGGTTAGCCTGGTGATGGGTATTGAGGAGGGCACGTTCTGCATGGAGCACTGGGTGTTATGAACAAACAATGAATCATGGAACACTGCATCAAAAACTAATGATGTAATATATGGTGATTTACATAACAATAAAAAATTAAAAAAAACATTTTTAGCAGCAGTGTAATATTTCATTGCATGACTATGAGATAGGTTATTTAAATAACTCCTTGTTGAACATTAAAAATACTTTCATAAATATCTTTGCACAGAAATCTTTACATGTATCTTTGGTGCTTCCTTGAAATACATTTCTTAGAAGCTGAGTTACTGTGTCCTATGGGACGAACTTTAATTAATTAAATTTTTTAAAGATTTTCTTTATTTATTTGGCAGAAAGAGACACAGCGAGAGAGGGAACACAAGCAGGGGGAGTGGGATAAGGAGAAGCAGGCTTCCTGCAAGGCAAGAAGCCCGATGCGGGGCTCAATCCCAGGACCCTGGGATCATGACCTGAGCCAAAGGCAGACGCTTAACGACTGAGCCACCCAGGCGCCCCTGGGATGAACTTTTAAAAAGACTTTAGGTATGTATCACAAAACTTCCCTCCAGAAAAGCAGAATCAGTTAACATGCTTAGTTAGCAGTAGTGCATGAGAATGTCCATTTCCCTGAAACCTCACGAACACTGGCTATTATCATTATTGCAAAATCAGCTCTTAATCAGGATTTGAGGTCAAGAAGTCTGGTACTTTAAAGTATACAACACGCATGGGACTTTCCTTTACCTTTGTGACAGTATTTTTACTTACAGCCTAGCCACTTTCAGTGGCTACTGGGCAAAGGGATGGTAACATTCTCTATTTGTCAAAATTAAAAATCAAATAAAGCAGTTTTGTAGAATTTATGGCCCTCTGAGATGATGTTTTTATAGACCTTGAGAAACACCTATAAATGTATTCCTAAGAGCAATGGTTTCCAAACCTGGGTGAGTAACAGTCTCCTGGGGAAGCTTCTATAAATGACAGACTCCCAGGCCCCCTCAATGACCTATGAATGAGACCCTCTGGGGTTCACTAACTGATTATACTGTGGCTCTTTCCATTTGGTGTTATGCCAAAGAACTGAGCAGGCAGTGTTAATCTTGGGTCTGACAGACAAATTTGCTGCTATAAAAATGCTATCCTAAACCAGCCAGCTCAAGTAATAAGAGAACTTCTTCAGTGAGAAACTGATAAAGCAGGCATAGAGAACCAGAGGATTCTGCAAATGTACCAGGGAAAGCAGCTGCCAGCTTCTTTCTCCAATAATGTCGAGTTCTGAATTACTCGTAGATAATGAGCATCCAAGTGCCAGGTGGCAAATTTCTTTCCGGTGGTCTCTATTTCAGCACATTTGACATGGACTGAATACACACTGTAAACACCAAGCAGCAGTGACAGTGACCTCCAAATGGTGCGGACAGCAAGACAACTATGGGGCTGCTCACTTCATTTCACGGAAAAGGCTGATCACAGTTTTCAATGAACAAACAAATGGTCAAAACTTTTCATTACCAAGGCAATAGGTCTAAGTGCAACCACAGAAAATTTAGGAAAGCACAAAGCACATGATTTGCCTTTGATAACAGTATTTCGTGATAAAAACTATTAACCTATTGGTCTATGTATCATTGGGTCTATTGTTTCCCTGGCCAATGAGGATGTAAATAAATCACTGTTATCACTGAGGGAAAAAAATGAGGTAGCAAAACATATCTCAGAAATAATTGACAAATGCCTTACAAAGCTTGCTTAGAAGTGCCTTAGAAGGCCTTTCTCCTGGACATTCAGCTTGTCAAGACTCACAGTGAAGCAAATAGGGGTGTGGCCAAGAACAGGGGCTCTAGAATCAGGCCTCCATGGAGCAAATCCTGTCTTAGCGGCTCATTAGCTGTGGGGAAGACATTCCACCACTTTATGTCATAGTTTAGGTCTCTGAAAAAGGTGAAGATCGTTCCAACCTTCCACAGTGAGAACTCATGAAATATTAGCTGGTGCTGGTATTGTTCTGTTTATTCATGAACTTTGCCTAATATTTAGATTTTTTAGAACACCCAATTTATACAATGCATCTAAACCACAGAAGTTGGTCATAGTGTGTTTTTGCAAGCAATTCTTTTTTTCTTCCCCATTTACATTGGTCCTAAGTCCTAAAAGTGAGGTTCCATGGGATGAGTGGAATCTCAAAAAGGCTAAACTGGAAGTAGCGAGTTTAAATTGGAGGTTTGGTATTAAATCGGGAATGCTTGCATTTTTTTTCTCTAAAAACTAGAATGTTTTTGTGGTAGTATTTTATTTTTCTCAACTCAAAGATGGAAATAGGTTTCCTATTCGGAAGGTAGACACTATATGTCAAAGCAGTGATTTGGTTATTTCATTTAACAAAGCTATTTGAAGAAGATGCTTCAGAGGTTCAGTTGGAAGAGACATATTCCAATTCGGTTCATGTATACGCTGGGGAATTTTTTTTTAAGATTTTATTTATTATTTGAGAGAGAGAGAGAATGAGAGATAGAGAGCATGAGAGGGAAGAGGGTCAGAGGGAGAAGCAGACTCCCTGCTGAGCAGGGAGCCCGATGCAGGACTCGATCCCGGGACTCCAGGATCATGACTTGAGCCGAAGGCAGACGCTTAACCGACTGAGCCACCCAGGTGCCCTGCTGGGGGATATTTTTATCAGCCTGTCTGGCCAAGAAGAAATGTTATATGAAAACCCCATACATGAAGTATAGGCAATGATGAGAAGCACTTTTACTTTCTAGTTTTTTAGGCACCTTCTTCACTTCTAATGAAAGCTGCATATGTAGCAGATGCTGCTGACACCAGAACTGGGAGGTTATGTTGCCAGTCCATGGTTCCAGGAGTCCCACACAATCACTGCTGGGGACAGCTTTCACTTGTCATCTGTGAACATTAACTGAATGGGCCATGGTTGGTTTTGGAATGTACTGCTATTGATAACGTACAGGAAACATTTTTAGATACCCATGTAATTGAAATCTTCTATTTGTTGTTGAAGACTGACTACGATACTAAATAAATATTTTCTAAAAACTGGCAAGGGACACCTGGGTGGCTCAGTCGCTTAAGTGTCTGCCTTTGGCTCGGGTCATGATCTCGGAGTCTTGGGATCGGGTCTGGCGTCCGGCTCCCTGCTCAGCGGGGAGCCTGCTTCTCCCTCCCTCTCTGCCCCTCTCACTGGCTCCTGCTCACTCTCTCTGTCTCTGTCTCTCTCTCAAAAAAATAAATAAAATCTTTAAAAAAAAAACTGGCAGGATTAACTACAAGCCTCTTATGACTTACTCATAATTTTTTCCTTAAAAATTATTTATTTTATGATCTCTGAGCTTCAGTGAACTTTAAATCATTATAAGGAATGGCTAATACTTTTTTCTTTGATTTTTCATTAAACTAAAAAGACTGACTCATTATAGCACTTGCAATGTCTAACCTGGTAGAGCTATAACAATTCTAATTGTGTCTAATACTAATAATGGATGCTATCATCTGGTAATTATGCATTGCAAATCCTAAATTCTTAGAGGAACAGTGTCTGATTTTCTGAAATGACCTGATAATGATACAAATAAAAATAAGCAATGGCTCCAAACAGTGCCTCCCTTTTTAAAATGCAGATCCTTGGCCTTAATCCCAGAACTATTGAAACTGTCTCTACAGGTGGTCTCAGTCTCGTATGTTGTAAAAAATTCTCTAAAATATGGGGGCACCTGGGTAGCTCAGTCGTTAGACGTCTGCCTTCGGCTCAGGTCATGGTCCCAGGGTCCTGGGATCGAGCCCCGCGTCGGGCTCCCTGCTCCGTGGGAAGCCTGCTTCTCCCTCTCCCACTCCCCCTGCTTGTGTTCCCTCTCTCGCTGTGTCTCTCTCTGTCAAATAAATAAAATCTTAAAAAAAAAATTCTCTAAAATTTGCAAATGTAAGAATAATTATCAAGACAAACAAACAAACAAAATCCAGTTAGCTGGTCATAAATTTAGCCTATCATATAATGTTACCATAAAATAAGTACTATGACTGGGAAATAGTAACTCCTAGTTTAAAATAAAGTTATTGAAAACACTAATTTGAAAAGATATATGCACCTCTATGTTTACTGCAACATTATTTACAATAGCCAAGATATGGAAGCAACCCAAGTGTCTATCGATAGAACAATGGGTAAGGAAGATGTGGTATGTATGTATGTATATACATAAGCACACAATGGAATATTACTCAGCCAAAAAAAAGGGATGAGATTGTGCTATTTGAGACAACATGGATGAACTTAGAGGTTA